GGAGAGGGCGTTCAGTATCTCAACAGCTACACCTGGAGACCGCGGGGAGACACCTGGCGTACGACGGCATGCCAACCACCAGCGCTGACGCATCGGGGACGGCGATGGTGCATCGGGAGCTCTGGAAGGAGAGGCTAGCGAACTTGGAAAAGCTGGACATCAGCATCCTCGAGGGTATGGCGATGTAAGCAGAAGAGGAGAAGAGGCACGCGGTCAGGCGAGACTTGCGGGCCAACACTCGGGCCCGCGAGGCAGGAAACGTTGACGAATTGCGTTCTGCACAGCGCGGTCACAAAGATGATCCTCGCCGCCCTAGGGCCTAGGGTCTGGCAACAAGGGTCCCTGACGCACGCATTGGGCCTCAAAGCCCTCACGACCAGCAAAGGTGCGCAGCGACGTACCGCAGCCATGCTCAAGTGACGCGAAGCGACTCCAGCGCGATTGCGTCATATTGGACGCGCGCATGTGCGAGGGAATCCATGGTGCGCGCTAGTTCAATTTCATGCGATGCAAAGCTATACGGTACAATGGTCTGTGATTGTATCCAATGCGCGCAGTGACGCGCATTGGCATGCAACGGTATGGAACCCAATGCGAAGGGCTGCAAAGCAATGCAAATCAACACAATGCGCTGCGACGAAGTCTAATCCCACCAGCCCTCTGGGCGACAAATGGTCTAACGATGTCTGTCCTCTTCAAAAACCGTCTTCCCTTCGGGGAGGGGCGCCCTCCCCTCCCCTCCCGGAGTTGTTTCGCTTGACATTTTTTTGTTTTTTTTGGGGGGGGGGGGGGCGGGGTCGCGATGTGGCAAAGGCTTTTTTTTGCCAAAGATTGCCCCAAGAAGGCCTGCGATGCTCCAAGTTTGCCTTCAAGATGGCTCAAGATAGCCGAAGGTGGCTCAATATGGCTTCACACATGCCTCCAAGAGGCCCCAAGGGGACCGCAAGACGGCTCCAAGTGCTCTCAGACCGCTCCCAGGACCCCCCCAACAAAAACTTGCCCAAATCCTTCAAAAGCCGTAAGAATATCAATGAATTGTGCTTCCTCGCCTTTTCGCTTCCGATGCGCTTTTGAGGCCTCAAGATTGCCCCAAGACGGCCCAAGAGGGCCCCAAGAGCGCCCCAAGAGGCGATGTTGATTGCCCCTGGGGAGGGGGGAGGGGGGGGGGACCCCTCATCGTTTGACCGACACCCGCCAAGATTGCCCCAAGAGGCCTCACAGGGCCTCTAGGAAACCCCCAACAGAGCACCACGAGGACACCAAGACCCTCCAAAGGGCCTCCAACAGGCACCCAGGAGACGCCCAAAAGGCACCCGAGCGACCCCAAAAGAGGCTCCACCGAGCCACCCAAAACGCCTCAAGAGGCCCCTTGGACCGCCAAGATGCCCGAAGACTTCACAGGAAGCCGCCAAAAATATCACGAGAAGCACTCATGAGGCATCTGGCCCTTCTGCTCGCCCTCGGCCGCCTCATCCGCCTATTCCGTTTCCTCCTCCTCCTTCTCCTCCTCCTGCTCCTCCGCCTCCTCCTCCTCCTCATCTTCCTCCTCCTCCAGCCCCCTCCTCCCTCCACATCCATCAACTCAACATCCCTGTTCCTCCCTCCTCCCTCCTCCTCCCTCCTCCTCCCCCCCGATCCATCCTCCTCCCTCCTCCTCCCTCCTCCTCCTCCTCATTCCTCTTCCCTCCTCCGCATTCCTTCTCCCTCCTCCTCCTCCATCCTCCCCCCGATCGCCATCCTCTTTCCTCCTCCTCCTCACTCTTCCCCCCTCCTCCTCCCTCCTCCCTCCTCCGCCCTCCACTTCCTCCTCCTCCTCCTCCTTCCTCCTCATTCCTCACCCCTCCGACCCCCATCCTCCGCCCTCCTCCTCCTCCTCCGTCCTCCTTCGTCATCCTCCCTCCTCCCGTTTCCATTCTCCCTCCTCCTTCCTCCCTTCCTCCCGCCCTCCATCCCGCCGTCCTCCCTCGCCTCTTCGTCCTCATCCCTCCCCCGCTCTCCGTCCTCAATCCTCCCTCCTCTTCCTCCGTCTCCCCCTTCTATCCTCCTCCTCTTCCTTCGAACGGTAACGGCTGCCACCCCTTTCTCCTCCTAGACACCCCTGATCACCTCATCTCGCTTGGGCATCGTTTATGGATGGGCTGTTGGGGGGACGAAAAGCGCCATGAACTCGTATGGCGGCATGTCATGGCAATGCAAGTGTAAAGACTATCACAGACTATCCCATAGCGGCATATCATACGAATTGCGGGTCATAGCCTAACATGGCACGATCGATGTATACCATTGCTTACCACAACACCGTCAACCATATGGTTGCGTAGGTCGACACTGTGACGCATACCATCCCATCGCAATACAGTGTCATTTGGCCTCGCGTTGCAACGCGTCGCAAACACGACGCGTAAGTTGGCGAAGTATGGCGCAGCTTGACGTCGCACAGCATACCATACCATAGCATTGCAAAGACAATCCCCGCGCCGCGTATCGAATCGCATGACATTCCCAGCATGACAAGCATGACACAGCGAAGCACCGCATACAATAACTATACATATCACTGCATCGCACTGCATGGCAAAGCGTTGCTACGCAAACCATGGCACAATACAGGCCCACGCTGCATATGGTAGCATGCCATAACGTCGCATCGCATGGCATTGCGAAACATGACATATCAACACATCGCGTCACACATAATAACAAAACGTGGCATAATAACGCGACGCGGCGTTCGGCATGGCATGGATCGCATGGTGAACCGTGGCGATATATTGCACAGCAAAATAAGGGCACGACCTCGCATTACACTTAAGAGCGTGTACATCGAACGCGCCCTTGCTTAGCTTAAAGAAATATGCAGTATCACGTCATGGCATAACATCGCATGAGTGAGCATTGTGTTTCGCGGCGTGGCATGCATGACAACGGGTTACTTGCACGGCGCATCGCTACACGCCAGCATGATATTGTGCACGTAGCAAAGCTAGGCACGCGAAGCTAATAGGCCAGCAAACAAGCTATGACAAACAACGCACTTGGCAACACAACGATTACACAACAAACAATGAACGACAATTGACCAGCGAGAAACAAGTACATATCACCAGAAAACACAATCGCGATGTGCCGCTCCTGTTACACGTGCTCTGCCATGATACGCAGTGCCCTGCTACGCGATGCGTCGCTGAAGCGCACTGCGCGCACTGTTAACTACTGTTACGGCATGCGATATAACGATGTGCGCCGCTACGCACAAATGGGCTGTCTTGCGCAACATCGTTATCAAGCCATACCGCGCAACGGAATTCCATATCGATCCACGCTGCGATGTGATTTGCGACGCATCGCAATGCTATGCAACAGCGTGCTGTGATGCGAAGAGCTGCGCAAGTTGCGGTACACAAGGCCATGCGACGTGCCGATGTATGTTGCAACGCGCTACGCAATGGTGATGGGGCATGGGATGCAATGGTTTACAATCGCGTGGCATACAGAGCAATGACACACCGTGCAGCGCAATGCGCTGCTATGCCATGATACGGCGTGCTATGCAACACCATGCGACGCAATCCCTGGTCTTGCGCCCATGGCAAAGCCACGCGCTACCATGATGCGCTGGCCGGCGCCCTGCCGCGCGTTGCCTGACGAGGCCATGGTCTGCGTGGGAACGCATGCCGCTGCAGAACATGCCATTGCGTTGCATTGCATATGCGCCTTCAAACAAAACCTCAGTCGGGGTCGCATCGGGTTCATGCAATGCCACTGAATGGCATCATGGCGTGCTCCCCGGCCGCGCGACCCGCTGACGGCACGCCCAACGACCGGCTCGGAATACGTTGTTTGCTTTTTTTTTTGGGGGGGGGGGCGGCGCCTGGCAGCGCTGACCTTTGCACTCTGCACAACGCGATATGCATTCTGCGCAGTGCACGATATGGACTCAACCGTGCAATCTGTGCTCTAGTGTGTCATAAACCCTGGACTGCGTTCTCTATACGTTGTTCTCACTGCTCTGACCGCTGTAATTTCTAGTGCGTATTCCACTCTGCACATCGCATCCCGTGCGCTCCATCCTGCATCGCATGTGTTCTAGGGTCTCTGTTCTGTACTTAAACTGATTCACTTTTTGCTCGCGGTATAACCCGAGCACTTGTTATCTCACCTCTCTGACGCACCCTGCCATCATTCCGATCTTTCTGGCCGCACCGCAACCATGCTTCCCGTCACTCTAAATGTCCCCACGTGGTCCCCGAGAACATGTGCGCGGCCTGATCGATCGCCAGAGCCATCGACCCAGCCATGTCCGTAAGCAAACGAAGCCACCGGCATGGCCTCACGGGCCATCGGCATAGCCAGAGGGCCGCCCTAATCGCGCAATGGCAAGTCGTGGGCCATGTGTCAAGGGGAAAAACCTAAACGCCATCCTTGTAGAGCGCGGGCCGTCACGCGCACGCCCGCTCGGAGAACCACGTCCGAACGAAACCTGGCGACCCCAAAGGGTCGAAACCGAATGGCCGGCCCGGCGCGCGGGCACGGAGCAAACGCGCGACGGACCTTCGTCGGCGGTCCCCCGAGATTGCGAATCACCGGTCTGGCAAGAGGTAGCGCTGGTCATTTGTCGCGGGCGACCCCAGGAGAGCCCAGGATCGGATCGACGAGTCGGATCGGCGATCGACATGAATCGGATCGGCGGAAATCGGCAGCTGAGTCGGGAAAAGTCGGATCGGCAGAAATCGGCAGGCCAGTATGCCTCCGATAAGAGAGCGGAACTCAAATCCGAATCCCAGACCGAATCGGATCGGAATCGGAAACCATCGAAATCGAATCGAATCGAATCGGAGGAATCGAAACGAGCCCTGCGACCCCGACAAATTCTCGATTTGACTCCGACGTGAACGCCTGACGCCGTCTCGCTGAGGCACGGCGCCCGGGAGCTCCCGCTGCAGGCGCTCTGCGCGTCGCCCGGACGAAATTGTGTCTTGCTTGCGGGTGGCTTACAGTCGGGGCGTTGACCTAAGGAACCCAAAATTAGGAACGAGGCCCCTCTTTTCCATGAGTTCAACTTCGATTTCCCATGCAAAAACCTAAGGGAACCCCGAGGCCAACTGTGAAGCAATCCAGGAACACCGAGCCCCTCCCCAACGAAAAGGGTTCCTTCTTCAGGGCACCGACTGTATTGCAAAAATGCCCGCTCCGTTGTCTGGAAGTCTCACGGGCAATGAGGCCCCCCATGCGCTGGCCGCGTTCAGGCCGCGCGGAAGGGCCAACGCGGGAGAGGTGTCCACGATCCTCTGCGAAGCCCCGGGGAAGGCCCTCAGGATTGCCCCGACAACTCAGCCAGGGGCGGATGGGGCGGGGGGGGGAGACTGGCGGACTCGAGCGCGCAAATAATGCGAGCACTGTAAAGCGAACGGGAGAGAAAGAGAGAGAGAGAGAGAAAGAGAGACAGAGAGAATTTATGAACGAACCATCCATAATGATATAACTAGTAAGAAACATATCAGCAACAACAGAACAAGCCGCACCGACGGCACCGCGCGGCGGAGCGACGATGCGCTCGCAGGCGCCCACCCCAGACAATAAGAAATCCACAACGGCTCCGACCCCTGGCCGATCAAGTGCCGTGCCAGCGCGAAACCCTCTCGTTACTCGATCGCCCGTGCCGCCAAGCTCATTTTCGAGAAATAATAAAAATAAAAATAAAGTATAGCATGATCACGACCAAACCTAAGATGCCTGCGAGACGGCCCAAGCGGCCTTCAATGGGCCCTGAGATCCTCCAGGGAGGGCCAGCGGAGGCAGCGAGTATGGCTGTCCTTGATAGGTTGTCGAAGGATTTTGGTGTTTGCTTCTTTTTGGCCTTCCGACGGCCCAAGACGGCCCCCAAGATCGCCCCAGGATGGTTCCGAAAGCCTCCAAGACGACCCTATGACGGCCCACGAAGCCCCCAAGACGGCCCCAAGAGGGCCTCAAGACGGCCCAAGAGGCCTCCAAGACGGCCCTGACGCACCAAAAGAGCCCTAAGTCGATTCAGAGAAGCATCCAAGACGGATTCCGACAGCGCCAGACGGGCCAGGAACGCCCTAAGACGGCCAAATCGGCCTCGAACAACCCCACAGGCTCTAAAGAGGCACAAGGAGGCCCCCAAGAGGCCCCCCAAAGGCCCCCAGGCAGCTCCAAGGACACCACAAGAGTGCCCCAAGAGGCTTCCAGGAAGCGTCCTCCTTCTTCTCCTCCCCCTCCTCCTCCTACTTCCTTTTCCGTCTTCTCCTCATTCTCTTCTTCCTCACGTGTTCCCCGACAAGTTTCAACAACAACTGGGAGAGCACATGGTCCGATAGCTCCAGCCCAACTCTTGGCCAAGTAGGCGCTTCTAAAAAAGCAGGGGGCGGCGGTGATTCGCCGTAGGCGTTGTTGATACACATTGGCTTCAGATCTGTTTATACGGTGCGATTTCTCTGGGAACTAGTCGGGGAGGAGTGGGGACAGGTGAAGTATGGGGACAAATGCGGAGAGCTTGGCACGAGCGTGGAGAAATGAACAGCGGACGGATGGAGAGAAGTGCGACGGGATGGGAAGGCGCGCGAAGAGAGGAGCGGAGCGGAGTAGAGTGGAGTTGACTGGAGTGTCAATGACATTGATTTTGGAGGTGCGGCAAAACGGGAGGAATGGGCAGTGGGATAGAGTCGAAAAGAGCGCAAACCAATGCAGATGGGCGGGGAGGGATGGAGCGGGGAGGAATGGGAAGGAGTGGGGAGGGGTGGGGAGGAATGGGGAGGAGCGAGGAGGAATGGAATGGACAGTGCAGGACTGGGGAGGAGTGGACTGGCCGAGAGGAGCGGAGTGGGGATGAGGGGAGGAGCGCAGAGGCGTGGGAAGGAGTGAACTTGGGTGGAATGGGGCGGGGAAGAGAGGGAGGAGAAGAAGGGATGCAATGTCACGCCAGCTGGCGGAGCACGTGCAAGAAGGACGAAAGGTCACGGAACACGGAGAGAGCACCGCCCTGAAACAGCGTGCACGCGCTGTTCCGCCGGCTGGCGGAGCACGTGCGGGCAAGACGACGAACGACAAAGGCAGGAGGCAGAAAACTATACGGAGGACAGACAAAGGCTCCCTTGAGCCGTCTCGGGTTTCTCCTGGGACGTGCTGGGACCGCTTTCGTGTTTTGGCATGACGCTGTGATATCATGCACGCCATTCTGGGGCATCTTGGGGCCCTCTTGGGCCGTCTTGGGCTGGCATTGGAGCGTTATTGGCGCTCCTTTGTGTCTCGGACGCTCTTAAGACAGAAAATGCGAGTGCGCTCAAATACATGAGACTACTTATACGAACATTCATGACTTTCACACCTTTCTGAGGCCTCTTGGACATACTCTTGAAGCGTTTTTGGCGTGTTCAGGCCCGTCGTGGATGAGCGTTGAAGCGGTTTTGGCTCCGAGATGGATCGCCTAGGGCTTGCAAGCAAGCAAATAAATAAGGGCCATCGCGTAGGGCTTGCAAGCAAGCAAACAAGGGCCATGCATCCAAAAGACGCGTCGGCAGACTCGAGGCTGTGCCGTTGGCAGCCGAGTGGAGAAAAAGTAAGAAATGTCGAAAATTCTGGCTGTAGGAGGAGGAGGAGGAGGAGGAGGAGGAGGAGGAGGAGGAGGAGGAGGAGGAGGAGGAGGAGAGGAGGAGGAGAGGAGAAGGAGGAGGAGGAGGAGGAGGAGGAGGAGGAGGACCACAGCCAGCCGAGGAGGCCATCCAATTCGGCATGCAAAAACATACAGGTGAGTTAACCCTCGCCGAACTCTCCAAATTCGGGAGCAATCGCCGCGCTGTTCCTCCTATCAAGGACCCGCTGCCTAGGGCTCTTTGCCTCTGGTGCACACTTGCTACAGGGCCGACCACGAGCACCGTTCTCTTGAGCTCTAGTTACCTAACAGCGTTTGCTGATAGGTTTCTAGTAGGGTCAAAAGAGAGCATCATGACTCCTCAAGGGGGTCTGGGCGGGTGCCGGGGAGGAGAACCGGGAACAGAACCGGGAACAGAGCCGGGCTCGCTTTTCGCCAACAATCACACACTTCGTGCTCTTCGACCTCCCAGAACTCCATTCCCGGGCCACATTCTGGATGCCCGGAGCCAACTGTAGGCCACTTCGTGCTCTTCGACTTCCCAGAACCCCATTCCCGGGCCACATTTTGGATACCCGGAGCCAACTGTAGGCCACTTCGCGCTCTTGGACTTCCCAGAACACCATTCCTGGGCCACATTTTGAATGCCCGGAGCCAACTGTAAGCCACTTCGTGCTCTTCCACTTCCCAGAACTCCACTCCCGGGCCACTGTTGCTGCTGCTAGTGTAGCTATTGCTATTGCAACTACTGGCAGTGCCACTGCGACTGCCGCTGATGTTGCCACTGCGACTGCCACTGCGAATCCGAATGCCAGGCTGAGGCTGAGGCAGGCTGAGGCTGAGGCCGAGGCCGACGGCAGACTGAGGCTGCTGAAAGGCTGCTGAGGCAGGCTGAGGCTGAGGCTGAGGCTGAGGCTGAGGCTGAGGCTGAGGCAGGCTGAGGCTGAGGCTGCTGGCTGAGGCTGAGGCAGGCTGAGGCTGAGGCGAGGCTGCTGAGGCTGAGGCTGAGGCTGAGGCTGAGGCTGAGGCTGAGGCTGAGGCTGAGGCTGAGGCTGAGGCTGATGCTGAGGCTGAGGCTGAGGCTGAGGCTGAGGCTGAGGCAGGCTGAGGCTGAGGCAGGCTGAGGCTGAGGCCGAGGCTGAAGGCAGAGGCTGAGGCTGAGGCTGAAGGCAGGCTGAGGCTGAGGCTGAGGCAGGCTGAGGCTGAGGCTGAGGCAGGCTGAGGCTGAGGCAGGCTGAGGCTGAGGCAGGCTGAGGCTGAGGCTGAGGCTGATGCAGGCTGAGGCTGAGGCAGGCTGAGGCTGAGGCCGAGGCTGAAGGCAGACTGAGGCTGAGGCTGAGCAGGCTGAGGCTGAGGCTGAGGCAGAGGAGGCTGAGGCTGAGGCAGGCTGATGCTGAGGCAGGCTGAGGCTGAGGCTGAGGCTGATGCAGGCTGAGGCTGAGGCAGGCTGAGGCTGAGGCCGAGGCTGAAGGCAGACTGATGCTGAGGCTGAAGCAGGCTGAGGCTGAGGCTGAGGCAGGCTGAGGCTGAGGCAGGCTGAGGCTGAGGCTGAGGCAGGCTGAGGCTGAGGCTGTGACTGCGACTGCCGTTGCCACTGCGACTGTCATCGCGAATGCGACTACGACTGCGAGAACAGCAGAATTCTACAACTGGATTCCCATCCGAATCTTAAGGGGAATGCTTCCAGATATGCTCCTACACATCGCTGTTAGGTTGCTTTGCCGGGATAATTTTTTCCCACCAACGAATGATTCCCACTTGCCGCAATTTTGCAGTAGATCTTCTGTTGCTTGTCAGGTAAAAGTTCGGACAGAAGTGTCTGCTGCGCCTTGCTCAGAACCTCCACGTCGCTCACTCTGGGCACGTATGAGTGCGGAATGCCAAGAATCTTGCGCACAGACCTGCAGTGAAAAGAGTCCGATCTGCCGTTGCCTGCTAAAGGGCTTGCCTTGGCTATATTGGCGACCTCATGTCACCGATTGGATGTCGAAATTGAGTTCGACTAATCTTGATGCGGAAATGCCCCCCAGAGCTCCGAAATAGAATCCCCGGACCCCCAAGGGCCAAGATTGGTACCGAGGGGGTGGCCCAATTGTCATTATGTGCCGGCGGGGGCTGGTGTATGTCGTGACGGCGGGATAAGTGGACCCACGGGCGGGTGGGTCACCCGATCACTGCTTGAGAAAAGCCAGCCGTTGAACTTGCAACTTGGGTCTCAACATGAGGTGATGTATTCCCGCTGAGTGCGTTTCCCGGATAAAGCACGCACCACGCAAATGACCCACGGGTTGGCCTAAGAAATGAGCGGTGTTCCAGCGAGCAGTTGGACCCGACGGCCCCTACCTGGGCATGCGAACAATGGTGTAATGAGGTCCGACATGCGCCCCGCAAGGAACTGGTAGGGTCCAAAAGAAGAGCTGGACCTTAATGTGACCATCGTTGCGATGTTTGAAGCCTGTGAGCTCCAAGCCGCGTGGCCCAAAGAACGCTCGGTGCTCGAGCGAGGAGCTGGACCTTAACATGTTCACCGATAACCTTGCCATGCCGCAAACCAATTATTTTGAAAACGGCGCAAGGAACCGAAACCCCTGGAGCCCCGTTCCTTCGACCAGCTATTCTGATCGACGAACCGAATCCACGCGTGCTACTTAGAGAACACCGAAGGGACCCGCCACCAAAAAGCAACAAAACGCATGCGAACCTAAAGAACCACCGAGCCCCTTGCGTCCTCGAACTGCACCATATTTCAACAAACGCACCTGTACCCCTTCGTTCCCTCCCTTCTGCTCTTTCCTACCTCCTGGGGGCCCTTTGGAGAAAAAAGCGGGCGGGGATCGGTGGGCCCGAGGAGGGACGGATGGCCAAGCGTCGGCCGGAAAGCATGCTCCTACGCAGATGTCTGTAACTGTCGGGATCACGCGGGCGTTAAACAAATTCGCCGTGCGCCTGCGATTGGAGTAATCCGCCGACCCACTCGGCGTGTGTGATACACTGTCGTCGTCGTCTTCGTCTTCGTCGTCACCAATCCCAAAGAAATCCAGAAACGGAAAGAGAAAAGAAACGCCGTAAAAGAAACATCGTCTTTCAGTCGACTCCCTTTCCTTTTCCCCTCCCTGACGGGATGGGGGATAAGGGAGGGGGTCGAGGCCCCCCCAAGACCGCGAGCCGTCTCGCTCACTTCCACCCGCCATCCCAACACATAAATAAAATCCGAATATCTCAGCACATCGCCGAGGAGAGCCACACGTGCCGCGGGTTCAGGTGCACCAAACACACTGGAGGCCCAAGCGTGCGAGGCGCGACTAGCGCGGCACGTGCTCCACGAGCGCCAAGTGCTCCAGCCGCGCCAGGTGCGCCACGTGCTCGGCGCGTGCAGTGCGTGCGAGGTGCGCCATTGCGCAGCCGTCACCAAGTCGATTCTATATTGTTTCCCCCATCAGAACTTGCTTCTGTAGGGGTCCCAGCGGATTCATATTGTTAGGTGCCCAAGTGCCCGGATTTCCTTATAGCCCTATATAGCCCAAGCGCCCTATAGCCTTTTATAATCCTTTGAAAACACGATAGCCTTATGACCCTACAGCTCTATATGCCTATAACACTATAGCCCTATAGCTCTATGGCCATATCTACCTGTAGCCCTATGGTCCTATAGTCCCATAGTCCTGTAGCCCCCAAAAATGTATTGGGGCTTTCCTCCGGTATCATTTATTTTGACAGGGATGGTTGCCTGCGCCCATCAAGCAATATTGGGCGCCCGAGCTATCCGGGGTAACTCGGGTCCGGGGTAACTCGGGTTTGGATTCCCCAAAAAGGAACCCGAGTTTGCCCTGACCCGAGTTACCCCTGATGATGTGGGGCTCTGGACGCCCGAGTTATCCGGGGTAACTCGGGTCCGGGGTAACTCGGGTTTGGATTCCCGAAAAACGAACCCGAGTTATCCCTGACCCGAGTTACCCCTGATGATTCGGGGCTCTGACGATATGCTGGCGCCCCCGTCATCGCTGTCAAAGGCCACTGCAAAGAGGTCGCGGGGCGCCCGCCGAGTGGTCGCGGAGAGCGCCCGCGCGTGCTCCGGATTTTTTGAAGCCACATGGCATTCTGTATATTGTTCGTGTACAAAGAGGGCCGGCTGGCGCGCAAGTGGTACGCAACAGACGGCACGCCGGCATCCCCGTCGTCGCCGTCAGACGCCGAAGCAGAGTGGTCGCGGGGCGCTCGCGCATGCTCGAGATTTGGAGGCACAATGTATGACGTCTTGTTTTTTGACAAAAACGGTTGGGGGGGTGGCATTTCCCGGGTTGGCCCAGTCGGGTGGGGGAGGGGGTGTTTGTTTGCAAACAACAACGATCGAAGAGGGGGTGGGGGGGGTAAGGGGGGGGGTCCTGGGTCAGGTTGCCGCGCCCCTCGGGGAACCAGCGGCCCTCCCTCCCCTGCCCCGGGCTGTCCTCCCTGTGGACAGGGGATGCAGGGGGCTCGGCAGGCAGGGGGGGCTCAGGACCCCTCTGAGCATCGCTTAACCGATCCCCATCCCCACCAGCGCGCACTGGGCTGGGCCCCACGGCACATTTACCCACTTGTATGGGGATATAGGCTGCTCTCTTCGGGCTTCGAGGGGCATGTCCCCCGCTGAAGTGGTTAGACGGTGAGGCTCGAGATGCGGGTGGGGGGTGGGGATAAGGATCGGTGAAACGATGCTGGTCCTCCCCCCGCCTCGGCCCCGGCTCCGGTCCCGGCCCTGGCCTCGGCTGGGTGTCGCCAGCATCTCCTCCATCGCTTTTGAACATGTTGTTTTCCTTGTTTTTCAAGAGGAGCGCCATCGGCTTACGACCCGCCCTGGGCCTGCCCGCGATCGCCCCGCGGCGCGCCCGCAGCCCTCTCGCGACGGACCCGCATTGAACTCCCATCGATCCCTCGGCACGGTTTTGGGCTACTCGGAACCATCAGGCGGCCCCCGATGGCCCCGAGCGGGGCCCTCGCGAGTTCTCCGCGGGCCTCTCAACTCGACCCTGGGGGAACTCGCGCGCGGCGGCGCAGATTTGGGGTGAACCAGTTGGCGCACCCCCGCGCGCTTTCAGCAGATAAAGGGTCTCATTGTAACAGTATTGTAGCCCCTTTGGCATCCTCTTGGGCTCTCTTTGCGCAGTGTTCATGGCCTCTTAGGGCCCGACCCTCCCAGGTTGTCGCGGGAGTCCTGGGAAGGGGCGCAGACCCCGAGCGTCGATGGGGTTCAGCACAGTTGCCGAGGTGGTAGCAGTTCGCGCCAAGGTTTCGTCGGCACGATTTCCGCCGGCGCCAGGGGCCTCGAGGGCGCTCCCAGCGAGCCCAGACAAGGCCCGAATATCTTCGGAGCAGTGAAGACCCCGCGGAGCTTCCCCCAGGGCGGCGGCTCTCGCCGTGGAGGCGAAGATTTGTCAGCGCAAGCTCTCTTATCGCCACGTGCTCCGCGAGGCCCCCGAGAGGTCCCCCAAGTGAGAGGGCCCCGAGAGGGCACCCGAATAGGACATCTAGTGACGGGTGGGCTCCACGAGGTTTCCTCCTTCTCCTCCTCCAGCTCGTTCTCCTCCTCATCCTCCTCTTCTTCCTCCTGCTTCTCCTGCTGCTCTTCCTCCTCTTCCCCGTTGTCATTATCCTCCTCCTCCTCCTCCTCCTCCTCCTCCTCCTCCTCTTGACCCCCCATCTTTTTGATTCCCTCGCTCCCAAAACCTTGCGATCCTCGCTCCTCATCCTCATCCCTCCTCCTCCCTCTCGTCCTCGTTCATCTCCCCGCTCCTGTGTCCTCCTCCTCTGGAGGACCGCCAGTCCTCCAGTCCGCTGGCCCGCTGGTCAGACGCGCGGTTCTGAGCGGGGCCCCGGCGCGTCGTCGTCGTCGCCGCCGTCGTCGCCGCCGCCGTCGTCGCCGACGCCGCAGCTGTCGGCGTCGTGGTGTTCGTCGCCGAATAACGTTTGTAGACGGCCGTCGACTTTGTATTTTCAGAGATTCTCCCTCGATCTCAGCCCTGTCGCCATGGGCCCAGGGGGACCGCTGGAAAGCGGAGAGTTGGTCGGGTCCCAGGGGCGATAAACAGAAGCCAGGATGAACCCACAGGATCGGCCCAAGGCCAATTTTCGAACGGCTTCTGGCTCTGCCGCCGCCCCCCCTGCAGGAGCGAGGGAGGGCCCGAAGATCCGACGTCCTGATATTCCAACGCGCAGCCCCGACGCGGAGGCCGCGTCGGGGCCGGTGCTTGCGCGCGGCCCCGCAACGGAGGCCGCGCTGGGGCCGCCGCGAAAGCGCGACCTCCGCGACGGGGCCGCCCGAAAGGACGGCCCCGTCGCGGAGGCCGCGACGCGCCTGCCCCTGGAGGACGGCCCCCCGTCGCGGAGGCCGCGCCATAAGTAGGAGGGGGAGGGGGTCCTCCTCCTCTTCTTCTTCTTCTTCTCCTCCTCCTCCTCATCCTCCACCTCCTTCCCCCCTCCAACTTATGGTGGTGGTGGTGGAAAACAGGCCCATCAGCCAGGGCCCTCCTTGGAGGGAGGCGCCGCCGCAGGAGCCGCGCCCCGCCGCGGAGGCCGCAACGGGGCCGTGCTCGACGCGCGGCCCCCTCGCGGAGGCCGCGCCGGGGCCGCGCGTGGCGGCGCGCGGCGCCGTCGCGCGGGCCGCGCCGGGGCCCGCGGATGTTTGGGCCCTCCTTCGCTCCTGGAACTCAAAGGGGCCCAAGGACACACAAATGAATGCACACAGATAAAAGGATTCCCCTAGATTTTCCCATCTTTTCGGGTTTTTTTTGTCTTCCCCCCCCCACTTCCCATATTTTCCCATAACTTCTAAGGAATCAGCGATTCATTGTGTCTGTGTGTTTTTCCCTCCTGAAATAATGACGGGCCGGTGGCAGGACCAAAAGCGCTCCGGGAATCGGCGCTCGGCGTCGGGGTCCGTCCTGGCGCCGATGCTTCTCCAACCCCTGACCAACCTCCGCTCCGGCGGCCCCCCCCCGGAAGCCCAGAGCAGAGCGGGCCCTCGGGAGGCCGAAACCACAGGAGAAAGTCCGAACATCCCAAGCCGACAAACACGGCGCCTGCTGCGGCGGCGACGGCGGCGGCGGCGGCGACGGCGATGGCGGCAGCGGCCGCGACGACGCCAGGGACTGCGTTCGACGACCACAGGGCCCGAAAATGGCCCTGGGCCCTGGCCCTGGGCCCCAGGGCCCGAAAATGGCCCTGGGCCCGAAGGCCGAATCGGTACCGCACGTCTGACCGGCGGACCAGCGCACCGGACCCGCGGACCAGCAGACTGGCGGTCTTCCAGAGGAGGAGGAGGAGGAGGAGCTGGAGGAGGACAAGTGAGGGGGGGGGATGAACGATGACGAGGGGGAGGAGGAGGGAATATGAGGAGGAGCGAGGATCGTGGAGCGAGAAGCGAGGAATCAGAAAGAGGGGAGGAGCTCAGGAGGAAGAGAAGGGGGAAGAGGAAAAGGGATAGGAAGAGGAGAAGGAGGAGGAGAATGAGCTAGAGGAGGAGGAGGAGGAAGAGGAGGAGGAGGAGGAGGAGGAGGAGGAGGAGGAGGAAACCTCTTGGAACCCACCTGGAACCCAATGTCATCATCGGGGACCCTCTCGGGCCTCTCGGAACCCACTTCGGGACTTCTCCGGGGGCTCGCGGAGCTTGTGGCGATAGAGGGAGCTCGCGCTGTAAAATCGTCAAAGCTCCATGGGACTTGTTTCCCAGATTTTCTTCGGGCCTTGTCTGTTCTTTGTTTGGGGGGGTCCTCGGGGCTTCTGACGACGGAGAAAAACGTGCTGACGGAACCTTGGTTCTGACAGCGCAAACTTCTACCACCTCGGCAATTTTACTGAAACCCTCGACTCTTGGGGCATGGGCCCCTTCCCAAAACATCGGTCGCCCACCTCCCACGACTGCCGGGGAGGGCCAAGATGGCGTCCTACGGGCTCCAAGTGGCTTGACATATCATTTAACGAGAAGACTCCAAAATGGCGCCCACATCGCCACAAGAGGACCTTCTATCTGCTGAAAACACGCGGAGTCACACCATTTGCTTCTCTTCGAATCTGTGTCGCGCTTGGAGCCCCCGAGGGCCGAGTTAAGGGGCCCGCGAGGAACTCGCGAGGGCCCTGTTTCGGGCCAGTGGGGGCCAGTTGATGGTTCCGAATAGCCTAGCCTTGCAGAGGAATCCATGGGAGCTCAATGAGGACCCATCGCGGGTGGGTTGCGGGCGGATCGCGGGCCAATGGCTTTCTTCTGGGGAGGAAAGAACAACGAAAAACCTGATTCCGAAATTCAGGATGGCTTGACGGAGATGCTGACGACATCCGGCCTCGGCCACTGGCCCAGGCCCCTGCCCTGGCCCCAGCCCCGGCCCCAGCTCCAGCCCCTGGCCATTTTTCGGTTTCGTGCGTGGTTTTTTCGCCAAATGATCAAGGATGCTCCTGGATGGTCCTCGCCCAAAGAAAAATGCACACGTCCGAGCGATGCCAAGAGCCCTGGTCCCGGCCCCCGTCCTGGCCCTGGCCTCGGCCACTGGCCCCATGCCCCGGCCCTGGCCCCGCAGGCCCCAGCCCCGGCACCCTGCCCCCCGGCCCCGGCCTGAGCCCCGCAGTTCTGGTCCTGGCCCCGGCCCCACTGCCCGCCCCCGAGGAGACACACGGCTCTCCTCCTCCTCCTCCTCCTCCTCCTCGTCCTCGTTCTCGTCCTCGTCCTCGTTCTCGTCCTCGCCCTCGTTCTCGTCGTCGTCGTCGTCGTCGTCGTCGTCGTCGTCGTCGTCGCCGTCGTCCTCCTCCTCCTCCTCCTCCTCCTCCTCCTCCTCCTCCTCCTCCTCCTCCTCCTCCTTGTCCCTACACCGCCTGCCCCATGTCCCGAGCTCAAGGCAGGGTCATCAGCTCGACGTTGTCGTTGTCGTCGTGGTCGTCGTCGTGGTCGTCGTCGTCCTTCTGGGTCGGCGGCACTGGCCGCAAGGCCTTCACGAGAGATGAGGGGGAGGATTCGCGTCTTCGGGAAGAGGGATGCTTGTGCTGGAGGCGGTGACGGCTGTCCAGGAGCATCGTCGTGAAAACTCCGCAATCAAGGAGATCCGCGAGGACCCCCAGAAAATACTTGTGGGCTCCCTGGCCCTACAAGCCACTCAGCGTGTGGTTCTCGCTCGCCACGGGGTCTGACCTTGCCCACGGCAGCCTGATGGTGGCCACTGCCAGTCCAGCGGCACTGACATCGTCGCCCGCATGGCCCAGCTCCGAGAGCTTGCAGACGATGGCGTCGCCCAGAGAGGTGCGCTGCAGGAGCCACGGCCCCCCGGCGTCCACCTCTTGGCGGCGCGCACAAGGGGGGTATACGGGGGAGGGGGCAGGCTTCTTAGAAAGAGGCGGCTGCTTCTCAGAGGGCGCCGGCCTTACATCTGCAGACAAGGCCCGCACCTTCTAAGAAGCAGGGGTGCTTCTAAGAAGCCTTCCCCAATTTCCTTGCCCCCCATCTGCGCATGGCTGAACCTCCGCGGGCGTCAGCGCCTTCAAGGCATCTATGCGGATCACCACCGTGCTCTGCACCACCTGCGGGGCGCCGTCCAGTGGGAACAGCTCGCGGGCCGCCCGGAGCACCGCGGCGAGCACCCGCAGGGCCGCGCCCACGTGCTTCGGCCCCGCCGTCTGGATCAAGGCGGGGCCGTAGTATACCTGGGGAGACCAAAAGATACCGCTATTGCCCAGACCTCTCCTGGGGCGCGCTCTGACCAGGATTTCGAGGCGAATCCAGCGGTGGCGACGAACGCCACCAAGGAGGCCCACGAGGGGGAAAGCAAGGGAGATACATAGGCATGGGTAATTCCCCGCATCCGAAGTGGGGTTCTTGTATTCTCTGGGCACCCCGCGCAGGAGCACATGGGATGGCATGACCCCCCTCTCCTCACTCGCACGCTCACACATTCATCATCATCATCATCATCATCATCATCATCATCATCATCATCATCATCATCATCATCATCATCATCATCATCATCATCATCATCATCATCATCATCATCATCATCATCATCATCATCATCATCATCATCATCATCATCACAATATCAGAAAGAGCGTGTTCTACCGCTCCTGGCGGAAAACCGGGGGGGGGTCACTACCGGTTCGAACCCCTCCCCCCCCCCCCCCTCCGGAAAACCGGGGGGGGGTCACTACCGGTTCGAACCCCTCCCCCCCCCCCCCCCAGCTCATCATGAAAAGGGGGGGGGGTCACTACCGGTTCGAACCCCCCCCCCCCCCCCCTCGAAAACCGAGTGGGGGTGCGGACAGTGGTGGGGACGGTGTTGGTGGGGACAGTGGTGAGGGGACAGCGGGACAGTGGTGGGGACAGTGGGGGGACAGTGGTGGGGAGGGTAGTGGTGGGGACAGTGGTGGGGACAATGGTGGGAACAGGGGGGACAGTGGACAGTGGTGGGAACGGTGGTGGTGGGGACAGTGGTGTGGGGACAGTGGGAATGAGGTGGAAACACTGGGACAGTGGAGGGTACAATGGTGGTGGGGACACTGGTAAAGGCGTCGGCGAGGACGGCGGTGGGACAATGGGACAGAGGTACAGTGGGGACAGTGGTGGGGACAGTGGGGACAGTGGTGGGAACAGTGGGACAGCTCAGTGGGACAGCGGAGGAGTCAGTGGGACAGTGGGGACAATGGGGATAGGCAGTGGTTGGGTCCGTGGAGACAGTGGGGAGAGTGGAACCGTGGTGGGAACAGTTGTGGGAACAGTGGGGACAGTGCGACAGTGGTGGGGGCACTGGTGGGGACAATAGGGACGGTGGTGGAACCAGTGGGGACAGTGGTGGTGAGGACAGTGGTGCTGGGAACAACAGTGGGGGATGTGATGCGAGCGGTGGTAGGGACCGGGAGTCGTTTGCTGGCGGTGCGTGGGGGGGGGTCGAACCGGTAGTGACCCCCCTCCGGTTTTCGAGGGGGGGGGGGGGTCCAACCCTAGTGGACCCTCCGGTTTTCCGGATCGGAGGGGGGGGGGGGGGGAGAGGGGTTCGAACCGGTAGTGCCCCCCCGGTTTTCGAGGGGGGAGGGAGGGGGGGGGGGAGGGGTTTAGGGGAGGGGGGGGGTTTTGCCGGGAGGGAGGGGGGGGGGGGGGGGGGGAGGGGTTCAGCAGGGGGGGGGGATTTTCGGAGGGGGGGGGGGGGGGGAGACCCCCGGGTTCTGGAGGAAAAGGTTGGCAATTTTCCACAGTAAAGCGGCGGTGGATCACGCTCTCTCCAATATCAACATCAATTACGCACTCACTCACACCCACTCGGCCACTTCCATGCTCACTCACACTCATTCACTTATCCTGAGTGGCTCACTCAGTCACTCACAACTACTACTCACCATGATCATCATCGTCATCATCATCATCATCAACATCATAATCATCATCATCACCACCACCACCATCATCATCATCATTATCATCATAATCATGATCATCACAACACTACCGTCACCATCGTCATTATCGCACACACTCGCTCACACATCAGACCCGCGACTCCAACGAAAGACCCATGGGGGCCCATCCGGAAGGAAAGAACTTCTGGGCGCGCCCAGGAACCCAAAGGGTCCGGCTTCCGTGGGGGAACAACAAAATCCCTGGCGGGGGTTCGAGCACGGGGGTTACCCCCGCCTCAAGTTCCGGAGGAGGAATGAATTCTCAGCCACGGGGGTGGCCGCGCGAGGGGCCACACCCCGCCAGCGCACCCAGAGGAGGAAAAGCGCGAGAGAAGGCCCAGACTGTAAGTGCAATGCAGCAGCAATCTAATAGTGGTTGCACTAGGGAGTTGTGCTAGTTATAGGGAGTTGCGCCAGGGAGTCCGACTGGGAATTGTACTAGGGAGTTGGTCTAGTACTAGGGAATTTCACAGGGAGTTGCACTAATGGAATTGCACATTGCACTAGGGAATTGTATTGGGGAGTTGTATCAGGGAGATGCACTAGGGAGATGTAGTAATGCTAGGGGATTGTACTAGGGAGTTGCACTGCGGAGTTGTACTAATACCACTTGTTCCAGGGAGTTGTTGTACTGGGGCATTGTACTAGGGACTTGCGCTACGGAATTGCGCCAGGGACTTGCACTGGCACAGTAATGCTTGCATGGGCCTCTAATACTCGCACGGCAGGACAATGTGCTCTCTAGGAGCGTCTGCGCACTAATGCATGATAGTGCCAGTCGTACTCAAATACTAATTATACGGTAGTCGGAGGGGTTCACAAGTTCCAACGGCAATTCACGCGCGGAAGAAGGAAATAAATCCATGCGCCGCCAGAAGTCACGGGTGTAACGGGCCACCGCGAAGGTTGGCCCCCCTTGCGGAAAGAAGAAAAGAAATCCGGCAAGGGAGTTGGGGGGTTCTGGCATTAGTCGCGAAGCTGATACTCACACACCAACGCACTCAGCTTGAGGAGGTCTCAGGCGGGAACCCTGTTTGTGAGTGAGTTGCGAAGAAGTCTCAGGCGGGAGCCCCCTCTTTATGGGGCCCGCAGCTCATGTCTTTAATCCGAACGGGTCATCGGCTTCCTGTAATTGTCGTCACTTTTGGGCCCCTGAGGCCTGAACATGGAGACGCGTCAGGGCGGGAGCCTCGTTTGTGAGTGAATTGCGAAGAGATTTCAGGCGGGAGCCCCTTCCCTATGGGGCCCGCAACTGTTATGTTTAATCCGAACGGGTCATCGGCCTCCTGTGCCCGTCGTCACTTTTGAGCCCCTGGGCCTGAATATAGAGGAAATATCAGGCGGGAGCCTCGTTTGTGAACGAATTGTGAAAACAAATTCAGGCGGGAGACTCATGTTCATCCGAGCGGGCCATCGGCCTCCTATACCTATCGTCACCTTTGGCCCCTGAGGCCTGAATACGCAGGAAATATCCGGCGGGAGTCTCGTCTGTGACTGAATTACGAGGAAATCTCAAGCGGGAGCCTCCTCCCTATAGGGCCTGTTGTTTATGTCCGAATCCGAACGGGTCGGCCTCTTAGTTTTGTCGTCACTTCTGGGCCCCTGAAGCCTGAATATGGAGAAAATCTCCGGCGGGATCCTCGTTTGTGAATGAATTGCAAGGAAATTCCTGCGGGAGCCTCTTTCCTATGGGGCCCGCAACTCATGCCTTTAACCCGGAGCGGGTCATCGGTCTCCTGGAACTGTGGTCGCTTTTGGGCCCCTGAGGCCTGAGTGCGGAGGAAGTATCAAGCGGAAACCTCGTTTGTGAGTGAATTGCGAGAAAATCTCAGGCGGGGCCCCCTTCCGTTTGGGGCCCGCACTTCATGTTCAAATCCGAAGCGGGTCATCGGCCTCCTGTAACTGTCGTCACTTTTGGGCTCCTGAGGCCTGAATATGGAAGAAGCATCAGGCGGGATGCCTCGTCTGTGAGTGAATTGCGAGGAAGTCTCAGGCGGGCCCCCCCTCCCTATGGGGTCGCGAGTCACTTTCGAAGCCGAGGCGGGTCAACGGCCTCCTGTAACGGTCATTTTTGAGCTCCTGAAGCCTGCATATGGAGGAAGTGCAGGGGCCTCCTCTGTGAGTGAATTGCGAGAAGTCTCAGGCGGGGGTCCCCTCCCTATGGGGCCCGTGCGTCACGTGCTTTCTCCGGGTCGTCCTCTGGCGCGCGTTCCTCTGGGTGACCCTCTGGCGCGTAGCCGCTGGGACGCGCGTCGCGCGTTTCTTCAAGGTCGTGTTCCGCGCAAGGAAGACGAGGGGGGTCGGCGTCGCAACCCCGGAAATTTGAGACTGTGCGCCAGACAGCGGAGACTCGGAAACGAAAGCCCCCGCCCTGGAATTCAACGGCCCAACCTCGGAAAGCAAGAGGCCCCTCCCCGGAAACCGCCACCCCCATAACCAAAGGACTCGACCCGAGAAACCAGAAGCCGCAGCGCGGGGCGGGCCCTCAGGCCAGGGATTTAAGAGGGAAGGGGGCGGAAAGGGGCGAAGGCCCGCCCCTCCGGCGCCAGCGGCTGCCAGGCGCTGCGCCTGGCAACTGCTCCCCAACGGCCCCCCCCCCCCCCCAGAACAGCGGGCCGAGCCCCCGGGCCTGAGTTGCCAGGCGGGCGGGCCTAGGAAGGCACCAACTATACACCAACACCGATCCTGGCCAGGATCACCCTGGGCCCAAGATCGGTGTATACGCCCTCCTGCCTTGCGCAAGAAGGCATATACACCGATCCTGGGCCCAGGGTGATCCTGAGCCAGGATCGGCGTCGGTGTAAAGTTGGTGCCCTCCGAGGGCCGGCAACTCCCTGCGCGCGCGACGCCGACGCCCCTCAAACGAAGCCCATAGGTGCCGGGTCAAGGGTTGCCGGGCGAGCGGGCCGGCATCCCCGCTCTCGCGCGCTCATCTCCACGGAAGAGGGGGGCGAGGGCGAGGGGGAAGGGGAAAGGAGGAGAAGGCAGGGGGGAGGACGAGGCAGGGAGAGGGAGAGGGAAAGAGAGGCGAAGGGGGAGCGAGTGCAACGGCGGCGGCGACGACCGCGACGGCTGCGGCGGCCGACGCAGGCGCCGACGCCGACGACGACGACCGCGGCGCCGGCGGCGCCGAGGGCGGTGGCGACGACCGCGACACCGGCGGCGACGACGGCGGCCCACTCCCCCGCGCTCCCGGGACTGACCGCAGGGCAAACCCACCCGGGGCCGCGCTGTGGGAATTCCACCCCCCTCCTGCGCGCCGGGCCCCTCCCCGAACCCCGCCAGGGTGGGGTGGCACTTCTCTGGGGCCCGCGGCCCTGTCGCAGCGCTCCCGCCCGCGCCCGGCGCGGCCGAGTTCGGCTGGAACTCGGCCGCGCACCGCGCGGGCGGTCGCGCCCACCCCCCCGGCGCGCCTGCCGCCCAGCGAGAGCCCTCGGGGCGGAGTCGGCGCACCTCTCCAGGCGAGCGAGCGCGGAGGGAGAGAC